AATAGTTAGTATGGCTGAGCACGTGGGGGAGAGCGTATGGCTCCACCCTCCTGTGCTTGCGTGCTGCTCCTGCTCATGACATGGCTGTGAATCTGTGATGGGGTTTCTCATGTCAAAGGCCTGGCAGCAAAGCAACGAGCTGTGTCTGCTAGGAACTCTGGTCCTGCTAGAGAGGGATCGTAGGTTGTATGTGTGGGAGATTGAAGGGCGAAGTCGAAGCGCACGAGGAAGACGGCGCGGCGGCGCCGTGGCTGCAGCGAGGGCGCGAGAAGGCAACTAGGGCAGAGACTCCCAGCTCCCAGGGGAAGCCGGAAACAATTAGATTGTTTCTGCTTAATTCTCAAAATAGTCTTACAAGGTATTTATAACTCCTCCCATCTAATAATAGGAAATAAACTGTAGTAATTCCAATAATTCTAATAATAGCTAATACGACGCGACAACGTGGGCTTGAGGCCCATCCCGGACGCGGCCCTAGCCACGAGCAGGCCTTCTCCGGCCGTAGTGCACGCCCGTCATAACATCTCTCCTCGCCTGCGAAAACAGCTCATCCTCGAGCTGGAAGTCGGGGTAGGCAGCCTTGAAATCGTCGACGCGTTCCCAGGTAGCGTCCTCCTCAGCCAACCCGAGCCACTTGATCAATACGTGCCAAGCACCCCGGCGTTGCTGCGCCTTCAACGCACGATCCGGGGTTGGCAGGATGCGGCCGTCCTGCGTTGGGGGCAGGACACCGGACTCAGCTAGAGGATCGCCGCGATCTTTGCTTCAAAGAAGTGGCGTGGAAGAGATCATGCAAGCGCCAGCCGTCGTCGGTAGGGCGATATAAGCGACGCGGCCGATGCGCTCCGGAAGACGCGAAGGGCCAGCCAATGAGGCCCCTGCTTGTGCTTGGCACGGCGTCCGTGAGACTGCGCCAGACGGAAGAAGGGGCGCAATGCACCCACGCGCCAACGTCGAATTCCACCTCCCTGTGGTTGGCGTCGTAGTACTTCTTCGCAAGCTGCTGAGCTTGAATAAGGCGTTGACGGACCTCAGCCAGCATGTCGTCACGACTGCGGAGAAGAGCATCCGCGGCCTCAGTACGCGCTGTCCCCGGCCGATATGGCAGGATGGCCGGCGGGGGACGGCCGTACACCACCTCGAAGGGCGTCGCGCGGAGGGCGGTGTGGAAGGAAGTGTTATAGCAATATTCCGCCCATGAGAGCCAATCCACCCAAGCGCGAGGCCGGTCACCTGTAACACAGCGCAAATACATTGCGATTACCTTGTTCACCACCTCCGACTGCCCGTCCGTCTGGGGGTGAAACGCCGTGCTCATGCGCAGAGTCACGCCGGCCATCCTGAAGAGGTCGCGCCACACGTGGCCGGTGAACACGGGTCCCGGTCGCTATGGACGTCGGGAACCCGTGAAGTCGGACGATGCCGTCGAAGAAGGCGCGGGCAACGGACGTGGCGGTGTAGGGATGACCGAGCGCAATGAAATGCGCGTACTTGGAGAAGTGGTCGACGACGGTGAGAATGACCGACTTGCCGCCGACCTTGGGCAGCCCTTCGATGAAGTCCATGGAGATGTCCGCCCACACCTGGGACGGCACCTCCAGAGGCTGCAGGAGCCCCGACGGCCGAAGACGCGTCAGTGGCGCCGCGATGATGCCGAAGTCCCGGATGAACTTCCGGTAGTAGCCGGCGAGCCCTAAGAAGCCGCGCAAGGCACGGGCAGAGCGCGGAACGGGCCACGAGGCGACCGCCGCGATCTTGTCGGCATCCATGGCGACACCCTCGGCGGATATCACATGGCCGAGTTAGGCCACAGAGGAGGCCCCAAACGAGCATTTGGAATGCTTGAGGTGGAGACGGTGGGCGCATAGAGCGTTGAGGACGACGCCGACGTGCTGCAGGTGCTCCGCCCACGAGGAGCTATATATCAGGATATCATCGAAAAACACCAGCACAAACCTGCAGAGATCTGGGCGGAGGACATCGTTCATCAATGCCTGGAAAGTGGCCGGAGCGTTGGCGAGGCCAAAAGGCATCACCAAGAACTCGTAGTGCCCCTGGTGTGTCCGGAATGCCGTCTTGCTGATGTCTTCCGGATGCATCCGCACCTGGTGATAGCCGGAACGAAGGTCCAGCTTCGTGAAGAAGCGGGCGCCGTGGAGCTCGTCGAGGAGCTCGTCCACCACCGGGATGGGAAACCTGTCCTTGGAGGTTTGCGCGTTGAGGGCGCGGTAGTCGATGCAAAACCTCCAGGAGTTGTCCGCCTTGCGAACAAGGAGAACTGGGGCGGAGAACGGAGATGTGCTGGGGCGTATGATCCCCTGCTCCAGCATGGCGGCGCATTGCCGCTCCAACTCGTCCTTCTGGAGCTGCGGGTAGCGATAGGGATGGACGGCGACTGGAGCGGTGCCCGGCAGGAGGTGAATCCGGTGGTCGTAGGGACGTGCAGGCGGAAGGCCGCGCGGCTTGTCGAAGACCGGGCCGAACTGAAGTAGTAGCCGGTCCAGAAGGGTTTGTCTAGAGGAGTCGCTTACCGCCCGAACCGCGGGCTGCCTGGTGGTGTCGTCGGAGGGGAAGCCCAGCCCCGTCCACAGGACGCGGCGGCCAGTGCGCGCGAAGGCCATGGAGAGGCTCTCGTAGTCCCACAGAACGGGGCCGAGGGATCGCAGGAAGTCGAACCCGAGGATGAGGTCGAACTCGCCGAGACTAATGCCGAAACAGTTGATGGAGAACTTGTCGCCGATGGTCAAGGCGACGTCGCGAGCGAGCCCGTGGCACGGCACGCGGTCGCCGTTGGCCACGAGCACCCGTAGCGTGGGATGCGGAACGGAGGGAAGCTGCAGACGACTGAAGAGATCGGCGTTGATGAAGTTGGTCGTCGAGCCGGAGTCGAGGAGAGCCACCAGACGGTGACCCCGCACTGTCACGGGCAGAAGCATGGCGTTCTTTGGGCGCACCCCAGCGAGCGCGTACAGGGACACTGTGGGTGGCGCCTCGGCGGTGGCCGATGCGTCCCCCGTGGGCACCAGGACGGGAGGGGCGGCCGCGGGCGTCTCCTGGAACGCGGCCGCGGCGGCAACCTCGGCAGGGATCTCGACGTCGACGTAGTCGTCGTTCTCCAAGTAGAACGGGCGCTGACAGAAATGGCCGCGGACGTAGGGTTCGTCACAGTTGAAGCAGAGGCCTTGGCGCCGTCGTTCAAGTTGCTCCGCTGGTGACAAACGGCGGAACCGCGGCTGCCCGGGGGGTGTCATCGGGAACGGCTGTGACAGTCCCCGAGGATGGAGCTGCAGCCGGCCGGGGAGCTGGAGGGAGACCAGGACGCGCCGGTGGACGAACGCCGCGCTGCTGATGCGGCTGTTGTGCAGGCAGGAAGGCAGCCGCGCGACGTTTGTAAGCCCGCGCGTAGTACATGGCGGATTGCAGGTCCTGCGGATGGTGCATCTCAACGTCCACCTTGATATGTTCAGGAAGACCGCCGACGTAGAGCTGCGCCTTTTGACGAGGGTTGAGGTCGCGCTCATGGCAGAGGACGGCGTTGTAGCGATCCGAGTAGTCCTGGACCGTGGAGGTGAAGGGCAGTCGAGCAAGCTCCGCCAAACGTGTGCCCCGCGCCGGGGGTCCGAAACGAAGCTGGCACAGCTCGCGGAAGCGCTCCCAGGCTGGCATGCCTTCATCTTGTTCGAGTGCGTAGTACCACGTCTATGCAGCGCCGCGGAGATGGTAAGACGCCAACCATGTGCGATCCGAGGCGAGAGTGCGCTGGCCGCGGAAGAATTGCTCGCACTGGTTGAGCCAATTCAGCGGATCCACTCCGCCGTCGTAGGTGGCGAACTCGAGCTTGTAGAATCGCGGCGGCGTTGGGGCGCCCCTGTGCGCTCCGTGATCAATGGTCGGGGTGGCCGAAGTGCTGCCGCCCTCGAGGGCCGCCGGTGTGGCCGACACAGTAGCGCCGCCGTAGACGAGTGTCCCGTCCAGGCCGCCGTAGAACGTCCCGGATGTCGGGGCTGGAGGAACGACGGAGGAGGTCACCACGGACGGCGTAGGTGAGGTGGCCATCGTGTAAACCGGCGCCAAAGTCGACCCCAACATCGCCCACGACGGTATGGGGGACGGGGAGGCCGGCCACTGAAGTAGATGGAGAGGCACCCCCGTCCCGCTATGGGGCATGCCGTAGGGAAAGCGCGCCTGTTGCGACACCAGAGGCGCGTCCGGCAGCGACAGAGATGGAGGCGGCGGCAGGAGGCTGGCCATGGACGCCTGCATGGTGACCATGTTGCGGCCAAGCTGATCCATGTTGCGGCTGATCTGATCGACCACGCCGGCTAGGGTTTCTAGGGTGAGCGAGCCGCCCGGCGAGTTGGACGCGGACGCGGTTGAGAGCTCGGAGGACGCCGTGGGCAGCGGCATGGACGACATCGGCGGTGGTGCGATGTGGCTGAGCGGAGCGGAGGTCATCGTGCCTGGAATCTCTGATACCAAGCTGCTAGGAACTCTGGTCCTGCTAGAGAGGGATCGTAGGTTGTATGTGTGGGAGATTGAAGGGCGAAGTCGAAGCGCACGAGGAAGACGGCGCGGCGGCGCCGTGGTTGCAGCGAGGGCGCGAGAAGGCAACTAGGGCAAAGACTCCCGGCTCCCAGGGGAAGCCGGAAACAATTAGATTGTTTCTGCTTAATTCTCAAAATAGTCTTACAAGGTATTTATAACTCCTCCCATCTAATAATAGGAAATAAACTGTAGTAATTCCAATAATTCTAATAATAGCTAATACGACGCGACGACGTGGGCTTGAGGCCCATCCCGGACGCGGCCCTAGCCACGAGCAGGCCTTCTCCGGCCGTAGTGCACGCCCGTCATAACAGTGTCCTTTGTGCAGTTGGATTTCTCGGAGCAGGTAACAAATTACCAACTAGAATTTATTTGGTCATATTTTGATTTCCACAGTCCCTTAGCTAAGCAAACAAAATAATTATATTGGAACCCATTTCTGACTCCACATGGAATCAAATTGGATCCTCAATACAATTCATCCAGTCCAATTCCACAAACCAAATGAGAGTGTTATAGATCTATATCCCATCATCAAGTTACAACTGTAAAACGCTAATGCTTGCAATCATGGACTTTCTAAAGTTTATGACAACAATGAATAAAAAATTGCACTTACATATGAAGCTGGGTTCCTGGTCCCTAAAGATCTTGTAGCACTTTGACACTTTTCATGTGGAGATATTCGTTTCTTTGGCTGGCCTACAGGCTGCTTCCCAAGACACAGATCAGTCACTTCATCTATATGCATATGCATATACATAAAATGAGTAACACAAATAGGATAATAGGCTGAAATACGCTAAATATGAACATGTCATCATGAGTATACAACAAATAGGATAACAAGTCATTAATAACAATATAAAATACTGCACGATGCGTCGATGCCTATTAGCTAACATGCTTCCTGTGGCCCACAATCAAGACTTACACATCTGAATAAGCTGAAGTTTGCATTAATTGATATTCAGACATGAAGTGGTCATCACTGACAAGTGAGCCAACACAGGCCAATAGTTAGTATGGCTGAGCACGTGGGGGAGAGTGTATGTCTCCACCCTCCTGTGCTTGCATGCTGCTCCTGCTCAAGTGCATGCATGCCATGGCTGTGATGGGGTTTCTGATGCCAAAGGCCTGGCAGCAAAGCAACGAGCTGTGTCCTTTGTGCTGTTGGATTTTTGGGAGCAGGCAACAAATTAGCAGCTAGAATTTATTTGATCAAATTTCGATTCCCACAATTCCTTAACTAAGCAAACAAAATAATTATATTGGAACCCATTTCTGATTCCACATGGAATCAAATTGATCCTCAATACAATTCATCCAGTCCAATTCCACAAACCAAATGAGAGTGTCATATAGATCTATATCCCATCATCAAGTTACAACGTAAAATGCTAATGCCTGCAATCATGGACTTTCTGAAGTTTATGACAACAAAATGAATGAACAATTGCACTTACATATGAAACTAAGTTCCTGGTCACTGGAAATCTTGTAGCACTCTGACACTTTTCTTGTGGCGATATTTGCTTCTGGGGCCGGTCTACAGGCTGCTTTCCAAAACACAGATCAATCAACTTCATCTATATAATGAGTAACACAAATAGGATAATAGGCTTAAATACGCTAAATATGAACATGTCATCATGAGTAAACAGCAAATAGGATAAGAAGTCATTTACAATATAAAATACTGCAAGATGCCTATTAGCTAACATGCTTGAGATCCTGTGGTGATTAAGCTGAAGCTTGCATTAATTGATCCAATACATCACCTTATTATTTGAAGCTATGTGCTGATTTTCCCTCCAGGAACCTTGACTCTTCAAAGAAGCCACAGGAGTCTTTTTACAATCTAAATTATAAAAAAATAGACACTATTAGAAACACCAACGAAACGATGTATTTGCAGGATTAAATATATGTTCTAACATAATTACCTGTGTCTGTTGCTGGAGTACTGTGTACCAATTCACTGACTGCATTATTAGCACATTCCACTGCAGGAGCTAAAGAAACATCAGTAGCAATGTCATCATGGCCTCTTTCTCTTGAAGAGCTGCCAGTAACCAAGCCTATTTCCATGTTATTCCTCTCTTTTGATGTAGCTGTGTATCTTTCATTGTCATCATTTGAAGCAGCAGCGTCTTCATTCAGTATTAGTGTTCCATTTGACAAACAGAAAGAGTTTTGCATATCCAAATAAACTGGAGTTGGCATTTCTTCATCTACTGCTGCCTTCTCAGTCAATAACATGTGCTGAGTCTCTTTACGGCAATCACGAACCTCCAATGAAACTACTGGAGTTCTCTGATCGCCTAAATTAAGGGGACACAAACAATCTATAAGTAACATCACTGAATTGAAATATTTGTAGGAGAGAACGAATTAGAAGCCTCTAAATAATCTCCTCTACACTTACCTGTGGCAGCTTCACTTGAGGCAGCAGCATTTTCATTTGTTGCGATATCACCATCACATGTATATTCTTCAAATCTGGGTGTTCCATTTAATAAATGTGATGATTTTTGAAACACAGCATCATTGTGTGAGAAACTTTCCAAAATGTCATTAAATTTACTAATCAAATATTCCCCCTGCTCAAATTTCTCCAGGTAAAATTGAGTGGAGTCCACTCCAGAATTGCTGGCATTAGAAGAACAAGGTTGACATTCTATGTGCGAGTTCGTCCGCGGCTTGCAACTTTGCCAGCAGTCTGGAAATCCCTTCAGGAACTCACCACAGACCTGCATGAATGGTTTGCAATCAAGACCAAGGCATTCGTGAGAGCAGTACATGGCTGAATGATCCTTTTGGACATGCATTTTGGCAAAACATTTTTTTGGTACATGATATTTTCTCGATAGAAGATATTGCTTGAATCTAGAATAACTTTCAGCCATAGGAACACAGAAATAGAATCACAGGATAGATGGAGAAAACAAATGATATCATCTGCTTTTGATACTGTATTCACTTAAAAAGTTGTTCAAATAGACATTCAATTGGTACCAGAAACAAGAAACATAAAACAGGATGTGCATACCGTAGTTGAATATCCATTGTGAAACGTTTGCAAAACCTTGTGGGAACCATGGAGGCGAAGTACGGTTCCATCCTCAGTCTCAAGAACAAAAGGCGTATGACGCGTCGCAATAGGTGCAGAAGAGTATTCCTGAAGTGTTTGATTCCTGCCAAAGCAGGCAATAGATTGTTATTTTTATCAGAGAAAGAATCCTCGAGTAGCGGTCTCCTCGCATTGCACAAGCGAGGGTAAGGCTTGCCACTGACACCCTTCCCCAGACCCGCACAGAGCAGGAGCTTTCTGCACTGGGTACGCCATCAGAGAAAGAATCCGAAATGCTCTTTCAAGAGGAAAAGCAGCCTACTTCAGAAAACCGTAATCATGCTTAAATAAACAAGCAGCGTGATTTATAGAAGTTTCACCATGCTTCAGTCAAGGCGTTAATCGCCCTCATATGTAAAGAATGAATCATTGGACAAAAGGCATAAACATTGGATTGTTGAATCAATTTGACAAAAGCACGTGGTAAACAGTTCTAAGAAAATTAAATTGGCCTTTTCTTTAGCAGGGCATGGCATCAACTCAATCTAGGTATCAATTTGCAATATCAAATTTGAAGCATACCCAGGAGAACTTCAAACACCACTCCTCAACCACAAGATCAGGAAAAAAAAAAGATCGAACTCCCATTTAACCCTACAAAGTTGGGCATGTTCCTCGCCTCTGAGGCTATCCATGTCGTCTCCAATTCTCTCTACCATCCGATTCACTCCACCTGCAACTACTGTATACAGCCCCAAAAATGTCATCTCACCTCCCTTCTCTAGAGCCTTCTCGTCTCTTGGTGAGGCCGGGGTCGACGCCCGCACGCCACGGACGCCGCCTCTCCCTCCTCCGTCTCAGCTCTGCCCTTCCCTTCTCTCTCTCTCTCTCTCTCTCTCTCTGCCGACGCGGCGGGCACGAGGCAGGCCAGGGCATGGGCGGGGAGCCCCGGCGCGGGCGCTGCCTCTCTCTCTCCCTCTCCCGATGTGGCGCGGAACCGGCCGGCCCCCACGGTGGCAGCGCACCGGCGCTCCGCCAGTGGTCGCAGCCGCCGCCCGGCGGCCGCTATCCCCCACCCGCATCCCTCTCTCCATCCTGATGTGGCCGCGCATCGTGGGTTCCCCCGACGTGGGTGGGCGCCAGCGGTTGCACGACCGGCACAGGGCGGGGAGCCCCAGCGCAGGCGCTACCTCTCTCTCCCTCTCCTGATGTGGCGCGGAACCGGCCGGCCCCCGCGGTGGCAGCGCACCGGCGCGGCGGCGCTCCGGCAGTGGTCGCAGCCGCCGCCCGACGGCCGCTATCCCCCACCCGCATCCCTCTCTCCCTCCTGATGTGGCCGCGCATAGTGGGTTCCTCCGACGTGGGTGGGCGCCAGCGGTTGCACGACCGGCACAGGGCACAAGCGCTGTCTGGAGGTCGTCCTTATCTCCTCCGTGAACAATAGGGTTCGCCGTCGTCCTGATACTGAGGTTCGCCGCTTCTCCATCTTGATCTCAATCTGCTGCTGTTCCATCTTCATCTTTTCTTCTCTCAGATCCCAGCGGTTGCTTCGTACCCCAGGCACTTGGCATCTGATCGTAATAGATCTCCTCATCCCCATTATGCATTGTTGTTAGCATGCTCCAGTTTTAACTTGCTGATTTATGATTTCTGTGCAGAGTTATTTACGCTGACAAATTGATATGTGCTGATTGTAGGTGCCTCTTGCAGGGATATATAAGGGTGAGCACAGTATCCATTTTTATTTACCTTCTTAGTGGACTAAGCATCACCTGTATATACATGTTTTGGGTTGTAGTCGGCCAACAAAATGCTGCTTACATCCTCTTTCATTACCATCCTCCTAAGAGCATTACTGAAGAACTCCATAATGAAGCTACTTGAACTGCATACTAAAATTATTTACCTGTACTTTTTGACCAGGTGGCGGATACCACACACTGGAAGAGTTGGTGGTAGATTCTGCATCAAGTATGCAATGGCTGCGATGCTGAGTTGGTTGCTTGGTGGCAACAGGTGCATACCAAAATTATGAATTACTGTCATGTGTTCCCATTGCACGCACATGTCCAATAGTAATAGGTTTCCATTGGTTTACCTGTCTTATGCAAAGATATAAACACCACCCAGGCTCTAAGTTCCCGATAACCATATCCGTACACATCATGCAAATGAAACTTTTCATTGTCTACAGCTCAAAGCTAGAAGGAAGACCTTTAGGCTGCAGATTCTCTGACAAGGTACGTTGTCATAGTAATCGTGGTTGATTTAGTACCAGCATTTAGTATTTACTAACATCTGGCACCATTGTGAAGGCAAATGACCAGACTTATCGATGGTTTCAGGATCATGACGCGCTAGAAGAAGCTATGGGTGGACAGTACGTTCTTTGTTTCTTCTTTAGTTTCATTTCATTTCGTTAAACAAGAGTTTGCTTTATTGCTTTATTTCAGCACTTTCGAACAAAAAGTAAGAACACTCATACTACTATTTGCAGATGGTACCTCTTCCCAACAGTTGAAGGAAACAGCAATACCTTGCAGCCCATTCGTTTAATTAGGGACGAGCAGAGGTCACTGTCTCTTGGGTATGTCTAAGTAGCAATTTCAGATCTTCTCTAATTGCACTCAGTCAAGGCTTTATGCAACAAAACAAATGAATTTTCTTTTGAAGAAGCCGGTCAGATCCTAATGACTCAGCTTCTTCCCTCTACATGCTCGCCGCCTTGCTATCTGAAGCCTCTACATATAACGACTCCTGACAAAAAATGGCGACCTGTTTAAATAATTCAAAAGCACTATTTAATGTCTGTATATTATGTCGTTATCTCCAGTACACTTAGAAACTGTCTACTTCCGTTGTGTCATGTGACTAACTATGTGCCTCTCTATTTGAACACTTCTTAAATCAGTTCTGCGTCAAATGATATATCTATGTATATATTTGGGTATCACTTTTACCTCACCTGCAGACCATGAACCAAACTTTTGTCTGTATATACTTGGCTACAGCTTTTATCTAATTTCCAGTCTATGAACTAAACATATATTTCCTATGTATAACAGTAATATTCTCTCTTTTTATTGCAGTCTGGTGATTACCATAAACTAAGCTGATGGACACCAGTTCTATGAAGAAGATATTTGAGGATCTGATGAATTTTTTCCTTATTTTTTTATGTCAACTTTTCCTTTTTTATTGTACCGTTTGTAGACACACAGCTACCAGTACCAAAAAACTACAGTATAAAATGTAATATACACGTCCTGGATGTATATCTACCTCTCTTATTGCTCCTATTATTACCATTATATATAGAACATGTTTTTTTATGTCTTCAAAATCTTTCCTGTGCCCACCAACGCGCGCGAGAGCGCGCGCCTTGCACTAGTAAAAACAAACGAAACTAGTTGCCACCCACTCAAGCCCGGACCACCAGAGATGAAGCCTCTAGTTTCCCCTTCCCCTCTGAAGAAATGCTTACCATTCGAATTTCCCGGCGACAGCGATCTTCTGGTCGTCCCCTTCCGCGGTTGCCAGCCACCACTCTTGCAGCGTGACCTAGACACCCGAAATGCAGGCCACCACGCACGCGCGGAGCACCAAATCGCGTCAGGGCACACGCGTCTCAGCCAGTAAAGGGGAAAGGAAGAGGGGGAAAAGAAAAGGAAAAGAATCGACACGCGCCCTAGCAGTAGCAGCATAGGGCGGGTGACGGGCGTACGTACACAGGCGTGCTCGGAGACGGCGGCGTCATGGTCGCCGTCGGCGGCGGCGGGGAACGCACTGCTGGAGGAAGGGCTGAGCAGCGACGGTGACTTACCGCGGCGGTCAGGGCTCCCCGCCGGGGGTAGGGGCTTCATTTCTCCAATTTCCCTTGGATTGTCTCTCGTTTGGGAGGAGAGGCCGGCCGGAGGGGAGTGAGGGCTGAGGGGACGAACACGGGCGCTCGGGCAGTAGCGGAATGGTGCTGGGCCTTCTTTTTCTTTTCAAAACGTAGCGCCGTAGGGAGGCCCCACCTGAGATCTTCTCATCGCCGACAGCTGGCCCCTCCCAGGAATCGTCCACCTTCTCTGCACGACCGTTCCTCATTGTGTGCGCACTGCCTTGCCCCCCGCACTCCGCCCTGCCTACCGCAAGGCCTCCCCTCCCCTCAGCTCCACTCCTCCCCCATCCCGTCCCGCGCCACCTCCACCCCGTGCGCCGCCGCCCAGCCCCGTCCGGCTCCGGCCTCTCCGCCCTGCAACCAGGGCCGGCCCTGGGGGTGGGCAGGGTGTGCGGCCGACCCTGGCCTCTAATTTTGGTGGGCCTCTCCCCATATAGTAGGTACTAGTGTGTGTGTGTGTGTATATATATATATATACGATTTTGTCTATAATACATATATACATGGCCTTTTGATCGCTGCGTGTTGGGCTGTTGGCTAAATATAGAAGCAAGCAAAAGTCAAGGAAGAGGCCCTTCGACGCTTCAGTTTCCATTCACCTCGCGAACGACCTGACCGTGCGGCCGCCGGAGGTAATCGTCCTCATCCGTGATCGAGCAGATGCAGATGTTGCTCGTTTAATTTCGATCCCAATTCCCATCATCCTCATCCGTGATGCCTGATCCATTTGCAGCCGCTTCAGTTCATCAATCATCACGGATTAACTGGATCATAGTATCAAACCACTGCATAGGACAGAGAGGATCACATCCATAGGTAAGCACCGCTCGGTTTGACAGTAACATATTGATGATTAATTTATTTATTGTAGCCTACATACCCTTATAATTGTAAACTATAATTGTCTATCGTTTATTTAATTTTAGGATTTGGATATAATGTCATCGAGAAAGTTTGAATCGGGTGCTTCCAAAAGGAAACGGAAAAGAAATGCTGCAGCATTGACAGAATCACTGAGAGGATCTCTTGATAAATTTTTCAAGACTAGTATGGCTGCTTCGACGAATCCTGATGAGTTGGCGATAGTTGCTGTGGATGTAGCAACTAATGTGCATTGACTCTACATTGCAGCAAATACAAGGTATGAAGCAATACTTTGAGACATACATAAATGAAGGGTTTTCTTCTAGTCTGATTATCGCCAAAGGCATTGCATCTGACATGGGTGTAAAGGCATCATTTCCAGTAAAACGTTGTGGTACGAGGAAGAAACAATTTGACGAAAGTGATTGCCAAGAAGAAATTCTAGACGCTGAGAAGGCTTTTGAAGTCGAATATTTTAATGTTGTGGTTGATATGGCAAGATCTTCTTTAAATCATAGATTTGATAAACTCATGGAATTTAAAGATATATTTGGTTTCTTAATGAGCTCAACTGCCCTAAAGTCATTAGATGATACTGAACTTGAAGAGTGCTGCACTAAATTTGCCAAAAAAAAATCGGTTGATGGATCATCCGATGTTGAGGTACATGATCTTATTTCTGAATTGAAGATTTTGAAATTCACATTGCCAGAAGGTACATTGTCTGCTATGGAGATTTTCAAGCATGTCAGAGAGTTGGATTGTTATCCAAATATTTCCATTGCTTATCGGATCTTATTTACTGTTCCTGTGACGGTCGCATCAACTGAAAGAAGCTTTTCAAAGTTAAAATTATTGAAGAACTATTTGAGGTCAACGATGTCTCAAGAAAGGCTAAATGGCTTGGCGACTTTATGCATCGAGAAGAAGTTGTTGGATGAGATCGATATCAATAGTATAATCAATGATTTTGCATCTCGAAATGTAAGAAGAAATTGCTTTAGATAGTGTCAAGTGCCAAGTAAGTAATATATTATTACATATGTCCATTTTATTAACTTTGAGAGATTATATATAAGCTTTTTTGGTGCTTTGAATATTATCTAAATTGATGTGTATTTGTGAGACTATATATATCTATAAAAAATCTATATAAATAATTTTTTGAAAGTAGACTATGGGCCTCCATATTAGTTCTCGACCATGGCCTCGAAAAACTCAGGACCGGCGCTGCCTGCAACGCTGCAGAAGAAGAGGGCAGCGGCCCGCATGGCAACACCTACGGACTCCGCATCCCCGCCGAGCACAGCCCTTCGCCCCCCGGCCCCTGCTCCGCTCCCTGCCGCCCCTGGCCATGGTGGACGCACAGAGAACACCCGCCTGGACAAGGACAAGCTCTCCTGCATCACCGGCGGGCAAGGAGACAAGGTCACCGTCAATAAGGACTATACTATCTGGTTCGTCGAGATCGCCCTCATCTTCATCCTCTGTCTCTCCACCACGTCCGTAAAATCCCATTCCGCCATCCCCTTCCTCAGTCCCACCACACTCTCTGATTTAGGGCTAGATTGCCCCCGGTTTACTGTGATTCTTATCCTCTGTTGCTCTGCGTGGTTCGTGAGTTTGGAACTTGGAACAGAAAGCAAGTAAACTGATACTATCATTTTGTTGCAGGAGCAGTGAGGTACAAATATTTTATCCAATCAAATCCTGGGTATTTTTGAGGAAAATTATAGAATATTGCCATTGCTCCAAGCAATTGACAGTGCATTTTACTGTGGCTGAGTACAAGATTTAGAAGATACTATTGGAGAAAAGGGAGCTGCATATGGAAAAAGAATTACTACTAGACTGACAAGGCAAGTATTAGAAGGGATATTGACAGTTTGCACTCACCGATTAAGAATTTGAAGGATTGTCGAGATGCATATAACAGGGCTAGGTTTTCTAGGTGAACATCTCAGGACTTGTTTGGTTACATATTAATTAGCTAAAATTTTAAACACTTTTCCTCATTTAAACACTTCAGTAGCAAAGCGACTATGGTGTTATTAGAAAAATCTTAAGTTACTTGACTGAATATTCGTTGGTAAGAGTATGCTAGGTGATGTGTCATTTATAATTTACTGCCAACTTAGACATTACTCACTCATAATTTTATTTTCTTTTTATTTCCCAAAGCTGTGGTGGAAGGGCAGGCCTGGTGCAGTGGTGAGAGTTGTCTCACTGAGTCACCAGGTCACGGGTTCGAAGCAACCTCTCCGCAGATTTTGCAGGGGGAGGCTTGCCTCGGTTTTTCCCTTCCCCAGACCCCACTCATGTGGAGCCTCCGGCACTGGGTCTGCCACCCCCCCATTTCCCAAAGCTAGGTTCCAACTTCCAAGTGAAGAAGAAACAGATCTTTCAAAACTGATTACTACTACGTTCTTCTATGGATAGTTTGACCATAGGTGCTCTAGCACTAATATCATGGCTTAAATATTGGTGGATTTAGCTTGGAGACTATTCATTATCCAAAGTAGAAGCAATTCTGTTATTCATATGTAGTTCTTTCTTTCTTTCTGACCGTATGTTAAATTTCAGCACTTGGGGTAATATTCTCACTCCTATTCATGCACTTCTGAATCTTCTCTTTTCAAGTTACACTATTCTGAACGTAGATCTTTGATGTGCAATAATTTAGTAGATTAATAATGTTTGATTTGTCACTAAAAGTGGCTAATGATTATCTTATAACCAACAGGACTTCTCTCAAATATCCATGTGTACATCATTTGTTTTCTGAATTTTAGTCAATCGAGAGCACTAATCATTTCATAGATGAATTAAATCATGGATCAGTTCCTTGTTTACTGTGTGGATTGAGGGGAATGAACAACTGAGGGACTTTAGCCAATGCTTCTTTTATTGTGTTTGGGATTTTAGGGATTAAAGTCAAACATAGAAATTGAGTATTTATTAAAACAAACACTTAGATATGCATGCTGGCTACAAATCAACTGTTGTCAAAAAAAGAAAACTGCTGATCTTACTGTTGGTTCCACCATTTTATGTACATGCAAGTTAAGCTGAGTCATGTGCATGAATTGGTGGCTGTGCATGTTATCCGTTATCGGAACTTTTTTCCTCCATTGATTCAAATCATGACAACTGTTTAATCCGAACCAAACCAAATCAGTTTCTTCCAAATTTCCCCTATTTTTCTGTTATATAACTGATTTTCCTTATATGTCAAGGAACAGAATCTGATGCATGGCACCCAAGGCCGCCGTCGGCTGCTACAATTGATGGACACGTGCTGACTGCACGGCTGAGTCACTAAACCAACTGGAAGTCTTCTTTATTTTTTTTACTGAACTGCATCTATATATACCACATATTTTTCTACCGCGTGATTTTTCTGAAATTGCAATTCAATTCAACACGAAAAACCAATTGAGTGTGTCAGCCTAAGATAAGAATATCAAAGGCTCCTCGCATAGGAAATGTGACAATAGAAAATCCAACTAGGTTTTTTGTTAAGTGTTGGACTGAATATCAACCTATCTTAATTCTTAAAGAACCAGGAAGCAGTTTTGAAGGTGAAATAAACATTATAGAAAAGGGGAGCATTGTTGACTTCACTAATACATTCAGATATCAGTAACTACATTATTGTTATTGGGTTCGGATATGTGGTGTTATTGACAATTTGATGTTCTTCTTTTTACCCTTCCAGATCCCGCTAATATGTGATTGGAAGCTTCAGCAAATATAACATGTTGATGGGACTATGAGAATTCTGAACGCAGCACCAGTCATACTGAATCATGTTCGCACTTCAAGGATCATGAGGGTTCTGTTATGATTACTGGACCTGATGGCATGCTAGCCCATAATAAACCACCAATGATTGGTTGTGCCTCACGTATCTGTTTCCTCACTTATTTCCTCCCTCCAGTATGCCATTCTTCTACTGCATAAAAGTTTTAATAGGTTGCATCTTTGCACTCTGCAGGAATCCTCTAACCGATGGACATCTCAATATGGGAGGTAAGGGAACGTACCCCTTCTCACAATTGGTCAGATATTTCAATCTTACTTTCTGCAGTGCCCCAATTTGCATTTGGAAGATCATAATTTGGTAACGCCTGGCAAACGGATGTGAGCTTAGGGGCCATATGAATAGTATAACAAAATAGTCAAATCTTAGGAAATAGGTGAAGTACATTTTCGACCTGAATGTAAAATTAAGACTCTGTTTCTAGTGTACCATGTACTACATTGAGCTGTCGTATATGAATGGATGCTAGAAATGGTGGCTTAAAGTCACCGCTACGATTGTCTGTGTGATTTTTGGCTTAGGTGATCATTACTATTCTCATTATTGCATTCAGTGCCCAATATATCTTCCCTTCTATGTGGGACAATGCAAGGTGCAGTTTTAACTTGTAAAATTAGAGAACTACGAAGACAGTATATATTGTAATATTAGTGCATTTTGACACAACCAGAAGTTTGGTAGTGTTATAGCACTGGGCCAGCTCCCTGTCGACCTGGTGCTTATTAGAAAGTTGTCTCCTACAGCTTTCTTGCTTAGTTGCATTCAAGTAGCACTCTTCCTTGACCTCCTAGCTTTCCAAGTTTCCATTTTAACTTTTTTTTTCATGTGCTACAGACTCTTGCCGTTGTGTTGAAAAGTCAACCCTTGCTGTTTATATATGTTGTTGGGTTGAGTGCGAGGAGACTGTGTCAGCGAGGGACGAGTGCATACCTTTTTTTTTTTTTGGATGGTTGAGTCCTCGGATCTTGAGGAATATTACCTGCTGGTGGCGGTTCCATCCGACAGTCTCCAAACCAAAACACTGCCTTACTTATATGTTATAATCAGGTCTAATTTTGATGAATCTCCAATAAATAGATAGTTTATTTGAATGTAGCTTGGAATAGTATGTTGTAAAGCTGAGTTGAAATTTATTTGTCTAGACCCATTATTTTTTCTATTACTTTTATTGTGTTAAAAATTTTAAGGTTCCGTAGCAACGCACGGGCATTTGCTAGTCTATATCTAATAATAAAGAGGCAAAATTTTCTCCTCTTTTTTTGTCCCTTTTTTTTTTGGTATGGCCTCCATTAGCTAACTCTCCTTGAATGTGAAGATGTAGATTAGAAACTCTCTGTTTGTATGTAAAAATAGAAACTCTCTCTGTTCGTTTCTCTATAACTCTCCTGAGGAATTCACAATTCTAATCAAATAGATCTTTACATCCTAAGTAAGCTAAATAGGAATCCTAACCCAAATAGAAAAAGATATAAGTCAGAATTAGGCAAAATCGTATCTTACTTCCAATATGTGTTTCCAAAGGATTTGAATTTCCATCCAGCAGATTGTTTGTCCTATCCAGAGAAAGCAGTCGGTCTTGCCTGTGTGCATGATTGGGCGAACGGTATAAGCTAGGAGCACTACAAAGAGTCCGGGTGTTATACAATTATTTGGTCACGTGAGAAGATACGACAAGATAGATGATTCCGACTTGCAATAAGACGTGACGTGAATACAAGGGAGATAAATTGGAAAATTATTACATGTATGCAGATTTATGAAATGCACATGGCATGTACACGAAATCGTAGCCTACGTGTTCTGTTAGGACTGTTAACCGTGCCGGATTGGGTTAAGTATGATAGACTATTCCACTAAGTTCCGCTAGGCGCGCGCCTAGGCGCGATTAAGCGCTAATCGACGGCCCTCCGCGTAGACTAGGGTGTAGTCGCAGTCCTAGGCGGGAGCAGCGACTAGGCGGCGCAAATCGGCGCCTCGGCGGCGATTCCGCGGCGCGCAGGCGCGCAAGGCGGCGCGTAGGCGGACGACCCGCTCAACGGCGAAATTTTTGTCCGCCGCGGAAGCGCGCGCGCGCTTATGGCGTCTGGCGCGGGAAAGGATGCGCGCGGGAAGGAGAAGAGGGAAAAGGTCCGCTCCCGCTCGATTCTTGCCTTCCAGGTCGCAGATAGCCGCTCGGCCACTCCCGCTCGTCCTCTCCTCCTGCTATGGCGCGCCGGAGGGAAGCTCCACCCGCTGGCCCCGCCGGTCGCCCTGCTCCCCGCGACCCCGCCTGGAGGCTTGTCCCGGCCAGCCTCCTCTGCCCCGCCTCCTCTGCCCCGCCTAGAAGTTGCTGCCCCGCCTCCTCTTCCCCGCCTGGAACCTGCAGCACCAAGGTCAGGCCCCTCCTCTGCTCCTCTCCTCCATGTCCTCTGTTTTGAATGCATCCCCTGCTTCTCTCCTCTGATTTGAATGCCTGTGATTAGAACAGCCATCCAGCACTGGCAAATTGTGATCATGCCTATATCTAGGTACATGAAGCAAAGTTTTTATGTACAGATCACAGGTTCCTAATGACATTACTAGCCATTTGTTGATTTTTTTCTCCATAGCAAGTGATGCACTGAATAAGTGATGAACCATTCCTAGACATGAAGAATGCAGAGTCTAGAACTCAAAATTATCACAACAAAATGTAGCAAGTAGTTAGTAACTAGCTAGGGAAGAGATGTTCTAATCTCATTGTAAATTGGATGTTCCAAGCTCCACTGCTTGATCACCAATGAGTTGATCTGATTTTGCCTGCTGTGAATGCCCATTGTCTAAATGTAGGATGTCTACAACAGAGGGTGCACTAGGTGAGGGAGAAAATAGTGAGTCAGCGAATCTCCTGAAAAGGAATTCGGATGATGTTGGATGGGAGTATGGTGTTCTTGTTGATCCTAACAACAAGGACAAGGTGAAGTGCAAGCTTTGTAAGAAGGAGATGAGGGGAGGGATTTATAGGTTGAAGCAACATTTGGCTCATGAGGGAAAGAATGTGAAGAAATGCACGGCTACAACAGTGCAGGCCATGGAGGCTAAACAGAAGTGCAAGAAAGCACTAGATGAGGCAAAAAGGAAGAGGGAGGAGAAGACTATTCGTGAGCTAGAACTTAGAGAGGAAGTTAATGTATCTAGAGTTGGAGAGTCAGATGAAGTCACTTGTGTTGGAAGTTCAGAGCCTCACAAATTAGGACCCATGGACAAATGGACACGTGCTATTGATCCTAAAGCTACCCAGACTGATTCTTTGAAGCAACAGCAGCTGAACAAGGAACTTTGGAAAGAAAGAACACATGAGGTGCATAAGTATATTGCAAGATGGGCCTATACACATGGTAAATTGCTAGTATACTCTTCTGTACTTACATTACATGATCACTAATTCATTAGATGTTATTCCTGATCACTAATTAGGCTTTTTTTAACATTGGCAGCAATACCTTTCAATACATGTGACAATGATGAGTTTAAGCAAATGTGTGAAGCAATTGGTCAGTTTGGTCTAGGACTTATACCTCCATGTCAAGATTCACTTCAAGAGAGATTGTTGGAAGAAGAATATGAAAGAACCAAGAGTCTGCTGCTGGAACGTGAAGCCGAGAAGATAAAAAATGGATGCTCTATTATGACCGATGCTTGGTCAGATAGGAAGAGGAGAAGCATAATGAATATGTGCACCAATTGTGTTGATGGAACCTCCTTCATCAGCTCTAAGGAGATGTCACATGTCTCACATACCAGTGAGGTCATCTTTGATCTTGTGGACAAAGCAATTGAAGAGATTGGTCCAGACAATGTGGTGCAAGTAGTGACTGACAATGCCTCTAACAACATGGGAGCAAAGAGGCTATTAGAAGAGAAGAGACCACACATATTTTGGACCTCTTGTGCAGCTCACACAATCAACCTTATGCTCCAAGGAATTGGCAACTTAACTCGGTTCAAGAAAGTGGTTGACCAAGCAAAGGCATTTACCATAGTTGTCTATGGCCACACAAGGACATTGGAGTGCTTGAGATACTTCACAGAGGGGAAAGAGGTAGTGAGGCCAGGAGTGACTATGTTTGCTTTAAACTTTCTCACTTTGAGTAGCATGCAAGAGAAGAAGGACCAGTTAAGGAAGATGGTGGTTCATAGTAGGTGGGACTCATTGAATGATGTGAAATCAAAGAAAGGAAAAGAGGCAACAGCAACTATATTGAGTCCAAGCCTTTGGAAGGATGTGAAGCTAACATTGACTGTTTTTGAGCCATTGGTCAAAGTCCTCCGTTTGGTTGATGGGGATGTGAGGCCATCCATGGGTTTCCTTTATGGACAACTACTAAAGGCAAAGAGACAGATCAAAGAGGCCTTTGGAAATGTTGAGGCTCGGTTCAAGGATGTAATAGCTGTTATTGACAAGAAGATGAATGGAAGACTTGATTCTCCATTGCATTTGACAACCTATTTGCTGAATCCTCACTATAGCTATAGTGACCCATCAATCTTTGATCAGCCCAAAATATCAGAAGGGTTTATATCTTGTGTTGAGAATTTTTTTTATCATGATGAGGACATGCAGCATATGGCTGCCAACATTGAACTAAAGAAGTTTCAGAATAGAGAAGGACCTTTTAGCAAGAAGCTTGCTAGGAATTTTGAAAACTTTGATTACAACCCAGGTAGAGGTACTTCCTATGGCTCATGGCTGTTTGTTGTTTGCTGTTTTCTAAACTAATAGAGGTGTTTTTTATTTTAGCATCATGGTGGAGACTGTATGGATATGAAACACTAGCTTTACAGAAGATGGCTACAAGGATCCTATCTTTGACATCAAGCTCTTTTGGTTGTGAAAGAAATTGGAGTGGGTTTGAAGGGGTTAGTACCTAACTACCTATCTATTATGAACATGTTTCAGGCTTTCAGCAGCATTACAATTTAATTGTAGAACTGAGAATGCTCTTTTTAAATTGTAGATACACACTAAGAAGAGGAATAGGCTTACTACAACCCGCCTCAACAAGCTGGTGTATATCCAATTCAACTCCAAGCTGCTTAGTAAGAGAGAAAAGATCAAGTCAAACAAAATCACTGAGATACTTCAGTCTAGTGATACAACTGAAGCTCAAGGTTTTCTCCAAGAGGGTGGGGATGATTGTGCATTAGCTGACTTTAGAGATGTGGAGGAAGATGAGATGAAGGTACCGGGATACCTTGGTCTGTCATTGGAGAGGCAGTGGGAGCAGATGAACAGCTTGAGCTGCGTAGAAGTGCAAGAGTGAGGGAGCTCTATGAAGGAGAAGAATTTGAGTCTAAAGAAGAAGAGTATGACGATGAGGATGTGAACTACAGTGACGAAGAAATATGAACTGCAGCTTGTATTGTACTGTCCTTTAGTTATAAATTGTGTTGTGCAGCTTGTATTGAACTACAGTGAGTGAGGGAACTATGTGTTTGTGCTGTCCTTTATTTATAAATTGTGTTGTGCACTTATATTACTGTCCTATCCACTTGTATTGTAATTACCAGCTGCTGATATGGTGTGCTCATGGATGGGAGGCCGCTGAAATCATCCAGATAAGTCACAACTTAGTGTTTTCTATTTTTTTTGAATGACCAGCTAGCTGTCTATTGACTAATTTACTAACTACTAGCTGTCAAAATGTGTTGCAGGAGGCAGGAGCTAGGAACATGCAAGAAAGCAAGAGTAAGCCAGCTAGGAATCAGATATGTCTACTGCCATCTTTTTCTACTTACTCATTACTGTGACTCATATAGTCATATATAGTAGTTATATACATATATATATAGTTATATACATAATAAATATATATATATATATATATATATAATTTATGGCTATATTGCCAAAACGTCTAGAAAAACACCTAGGAGCGCCTATGACCGAGTACTCCCGACTAAGCGCTAGGCAATGGGTCAGCGCCTAGATTCCGCCTAGCACCTAGCTGAACTTTGCTATTCCAATCATTGTATTGAAAACAGGTCAACTTCTGCGGCCAAAGATTTTTCCAAACCAAATCCACCACGGACCGATTGGAGCAAATCTAAGGCTACCCTGCATCATACATATCGAGATCAAATTGCAAGCACGAACCAAACCAAAACATAAGAGTCTTTCTACCCAACAACTATGTGTTTTATATAATTTCAACACATGAATTTTTTTACATCATAGAATTAAGATCCAATAGCCTCCACCCTTCTTCTACCTCCAGCCTCCAGCCTTTTTTTACCTCCAGACAATCACAAATCATAAGATTACAGATCTACAGATCATAAGAAATAATTTTTTTCTATAAAAAGACAAATCATAGATCCTGCTGCCTGACGTGCCGAAGATGCCGTCCGTGCCTCCACGCAGGGGCGGCTTCTGCTGCTTGTTGGTTGGGCTCTTGAACACCGCCACGATGGTGGTGGTCCTCTGCTGCCGCTTCCGGATGCATGCTAGGATGGCGGCGAAGCAGGGAGAGGGAGTGCGTTGGTGTCCTACCCGGCTGCCGAAGCTGAACGCCGGCTAGAGGTGGGAGTGGGCAGACACTGGCACTGCCATGGGTTGCTGCAGAGCCATTGCAACACGTACTGTACGATACAAACCCACCCAGCCCGGGCTGCAAGGACCATGGAAGGATAGATCACAAGAAAAAATTCATGTGTTTTTTTTACTAAAACATATGTGTGTTGTATAGCATTTCTGAAATATAAATTGAGACGACCACGGACGAAATCAAACGGCCTTGGTGCTAGCCTTCTCGACTCATCCGACCGGCGATGGCGATCTAGAACAAGTAGCAGGTTGCGTCCTTTTATAGTTTGATTTTGGGCCCGTTATGTTTTTTGTCACTCCAGGTTTCTATTTTTCCATAAATATCAAATATAAAAATAAATAAATATAAAATTAGGGACCTCTAAACCTTTGTTTCAAATAAATGTCTCCCAAAATATATTCATGTTTTAATGTAATCCACGACAAGGGCTATTATGTGCAAAGAGATCTCTCGTATCAATCATTGACACATCGACAACTAACTACTTACCAACTTTAATTAAAAACTAAAATTATAAATTTTTATGAGTCTACAAAGGAAGTCACAACACTCACAAGTGAATATTTGAAACAAGAAATGAATTCGAATTTTCGAATAATGGATCCTTCTAAATGTTTAACAATACCAATGCTATGATAGTATGAAATTAATGTTACAATATATTTACGAGTAATTATTTTTGTGCTTTACAATGAGAGAAAAAACTACCACGGTTGTATTTTAAATTTGATATAGGTTTAATAGGACATTGCTATATTATTATCAACATTAATTAATCTATATTAAGTATAAAATAGTCATCATAAAATAAACATAGCTTTAAAATTTTGTAGAAAGGGTAAAACACCAAATAGATACATACCATTTTGGTCCTCATTTTCCATAAATGCTCGATAGCTTTTTACTCCGTGGCAACGCACGGGCATGTAGTGTTAAATTGAGAATACTTCATGGATTTGTTTCGCTTTGCAAGTGAAAATATATATACACGTATATCTACAAAACATGTACATGGCCTTAAGGCTAATCACGATGAGTTCACCTTAGGTCCTCGAAAACTTAGGGCCGGCACTGCATGGCAGCGGCAAGGATGAGCCTTAGTGCGTATTTGTTTTAGCTTAAAATCATAATCGAGGCGAAAATAAGCGAGAATCCCACCCAGCCCTGTTTGGGAACGCTTATCTGAGAATTGATTTTAATATGATCAGGATTTTCTGATAAGCTACGGTCAAAAGAATCCGCTGTCTAAACAAGCGAGTGTTTTGTAATCCTGATTATTGCCCATAGATTGTCTGTCCTGAGTGTGAAATGACATGTATGCCCATGAGGTTGATGACCCTCATTTGTTCATTGAATATGAGCTGAAAACAGTTACAATACTAATTTTTTATGTTCGCATAATAAAAAGTTTCTTCCAATAACTAATGTGTAGCTCCAATAATTAATGGATGGCTCAGTTTTGCTGCTGGTGTGAGACACGTATACGTGTATTCCTATATTTGAATTTATGGGATTATTTTTCTGAAGGAAAACGGCCATATAGCGCGTGTGACGTCATGATGATATCAGAGCACAGCACGAACAGATTTGCGAGGGGCAGCGCCGCGTCCGTGCTCAGGCGAGCTGGGCGGCCTCGCGGCCTCGCGAATAGGCCGGCGAGCTGGGCGGACGCGGCCGGAGCCTGCAGGCGCGGGAAGCGCCGGAGGCCCACCTGCGGGGTCTAGTGCTGGAGAAGTCACACAACTTCGTTATCGTTGACACTGCTGCTGCTGCTGCTGCCGCCGGCTGGGCTGCCTGCTCCCCCTCCCAAGTTACTGTAGCCGACACCTAGGGCCAGTCAGCCGCGACAGCTGAAACCCAGCAGCCGAACACTCCGACCTATATGATGGGGCGTTCGTGCCTGTCACCACTCGCCACAACCGTTGTGGTGGCATCCCTGGGTTGGAGACTGCTCACGCCGACACCGACTCGTGCACCAGGAGTTCAGATGACAAAACGTTCTTCACGTTCTGGCTGCTGCAGTTCTGTGCGCTGGGTTTTCTTTTTGTCATGTTTGGTTGGTAGTCCCGGTTCTGAAGAAAAGTTTTAGCTCTAAACCCAACATGTTACAAGCAGCTCTTCTAGCAATGTCTTCACTCATGCAAAATAGACAACACTTTCTAACCGTCCTTTAGGTTTTTGTAAGAGCCAAAAATAACTAATTGCTCAGGCTTTTTTTCTTTTTGCACTAGAGCAATATTCCCTCACATAAGTAAAAGCAAGGTATTCCCATTATTGCAATGCTAACTGCTCCAATTGCAAGTCTTGCAACACATTCTTAGCCTATGCAACTAAGGCAATATTCCCTCACAAGTAAAAACAAGGCGTTCCCATTATTGCAATGCTAGCTGTTCCAATTGCAGTCGCGCTCGCGCGCACACACACATATATATATACTGTTTTGTTATAATGCACCTGGGTGCAATCTGTACCTAGACCAACCGGCGTGCCTTGTCTGGGCAATCGGCCCAACTAACCCACTAATCAGACGCAGGCCACACACCTCTACTCTCTCCCACACCAACACCGCCCCACCAGGTAGCGAGGCAGGCACACAGCGAGCGTGTGAACGAGTTGCAATTTGTGTACGACGAAAGTTGCAATCGGTTGAAGGGATGAGTTGCAATTTATGTACGACTGAAGATGCAATCGGCTGACGAGCTGAGTTAGAACTTGTATACAAACGGAGCTGCAACCAGCCGTCCAGGGCAGTTGCAACTAACCGACCCAACCGGAATGCAACTGGCCCACCACCAATGTTGCAATTTGTATACGACGGAAGTTGCAATCGGTTAAAGAGATGAGTTGCAATTTGTGTACGACTGAAGATGCAATCGGCTGACGGGCTGAGTTGCAACTGGTATACAAACGGAGCTGCAACCAGACATCCAAGGCAGTTGCAACTGGCCTACCCAACCGAAATTCGACTGACCTACCACCAAGATTGCAATTTATATACGACAGAAGTTGCAATCGATTAAAGAGATGGGTTACGGCTGAGGGGCGGCGCCCGGAGCCTGTACAGGCGCGCAGATTCTCGGGATATACAGGCGCGCGGGTCAACCGGATCAGACTCCGCGCTGGTACGGCTCGCGCTCGCCACACGTCTCGCGGCTCAGGTGCATTTTAGCCTCGTCATACAACGCATAGAGGTCAGCAGAGAGGCAGCATGATGATCTAGCGTGAGACAACGTGCCAAGAACAGGACAACGTGCAGAGAACAAAACACATCCGCAGGTACATACACCCGAGTATCATACGAACTCCCCATCACAGTAAGTTAGTTCCGGTTTTCTTCACCAGGAGTAACCACATTAAGTTAGTTCCAGTTTTGTTCGCCTGGAGTAGCAATTACGTCTGGAAGATGCTCATTCAGTCTTTCTTTTCTTCCTTTGATCAGTTTCTGATTCACTCCCTGCAAAGCAAAGGACACAAGTTGCATGACATGAAAACTAGATAGGGCATCACCCGAAGCTGAACATGGAAAGCATGCTCTTGAGGACAACAGAATGCACCAATGAGATTCAGAACAAACATTTGGGCACTGCTGGCGAATCTAGACCAATGACATCTGCGATCAAACCATCCTACAAGAACAAGGCACTTCATGAGACTCTAAGCACAGGAAAGACCTTAGAAAAAAAACACATTGCACAAAATCAGAATGTCATGATAATTCATCATTTAACTGAACTTTCTTCGAGATTGTCTCGAATTGCAAAATAAAAAATACCATGACAAACCTTAGAAGGGGGCACAGCACCACTTATAGAGGCCTTGGTGGTTGCATTGCAAGTGCTGCATGGACCCTGATGGGTTAGGTTCATCAACTTAACTGTCATCTCACCCAAACGGTTCTTGTATATGCCCTTGCATTTGACCTTAAAATCTGCGGTCATAGCCTCAACAAGATCATCAATGTCACGCCCAATTAGAGAATTTGTCTCTGTGATAATGGGCTGGTATTGAGGAGGCACCTGTTTGGAATATTTTGTAATTTTGACAAAGGAAAAAAGGAAGGTGAAAAAAGGGTACAACAGCACTAAAAATATATATGAAACATGGATGGGAATGTAACACAACATGGAAAGCTATCTATTGCAACAAAAAGAAAAGAAAAAAAAAGCAGATGAGTTTGCTGCAACAGTATTGTACCAGGCTGAAAATGACATTACCTGCTGTGCACTTTGATTGCTGGAACCTGAAGGGTGCAGCCAATCGTCCAGAGATGCTGCAGAACTATGAATATGCACTTCATCAGCCATAGGATGCTCGGTTGTACTTGGGGGAGTCGAATACGGTGTAACAGCCCGAAACTGACATTTCAAATAGAGAGAGTTAGAGTTATTAAATTAAATGCATCGCATTTATGAATGACCAAAAAGACAAGAACAAAAGCATAAATGTACAAACCGGTAGCCTCCCATATGAATGCAACTTGGGACTCTGCATGTCCACACTCATCACAAACTCAAAGTCCTTTTTGGATACATTGCAAATGCGAGGTACATCATAACAAATTTGATGCGTACCAAGATCTTTTGGGATATCAAGATGATCCATGTACGCAATCTGCACACAAGTAATCACAAGGTACAAATACAAAACAATGCAACGATTTGAAGACAGTACAGCACATGGATAATAAGCACTGTAAAGAAGGACAGTCAACGTACCGCTAAAATTGCAAGACAGCCTGCAATGTTATGGTTACGCTCAAGTTGTTCAGGAGATAATTTCTGGTACTTCTTCACCTCTTCCATCAACATCTCTAGGATATGACCAGCCCAATCGAATTCTTTGATCTTGGATACATCATATAAGCTATGAAGATAATTCAAGCACACTGCATTTGTTGTACCCGGACAATAAACTGACCCCAAAGCTAGAAGCATGAAAGCCCTCATGAACGAATCCCTATCCTTACTTGATTTGAGCACTTGTATGCACTTTCTCAGCTTAGCCCTATTGCCATCCATATACTGATTACAGAATACCCTCCCAACATCACCAGATAGGTCCAAAGGTTCGGTACCATTTTCAAAGCCTAATATCTTGCAAACCAGAGGGCGATCAAATATAATCACCTTGTCATCAAGCCTGAACTCGCACAACAAAGGATCTATGTGTTGCATTATCCACTTGACTAGCTTTACTGGAATAGAGAATTCAGACATAGACAGCAGAGAACCATGCCCAGACAGAGCAATCCAACCCTTTCGATCTTCATCTTTAACTAAATCAGGAACAAGCTTACGGATCCTATGAACTGAAAATCTTGTTAAAAAATGTTCAGCTGCTCCTTTCTCATTACCTAGAAACAAACAAATAACTAGATGAAGCCCATGATGATCTAACAAAATCACATGAAGAAATAACATAGGGTCTTGCAATGTGAGAATTCAGATTCATATTTAAACTACACATGAATGCAAATCGCATAGACATAAGGGAACTCAAACATCGGAAACCCTAGCATAATGGAAGCCTAAGCTGCAACTACACATGAATCACATTCAAAGTGCCATGCATCAGAAACACTAGCATAATGGTAGCATACTCAACTACACATCAATCATATTCAAACTAGCAAGCATAAAAAACCCTAGCACATTAGTAGCATAATCTACATAATCAACATCACATCTGCATCTACATAGCACTCATACCTTGCAGCTTTGGCTTGGGGACCTTCTTCAGTGGAGATTTACTCACACCGATGTTGCTCCGTCCTCTGCTAGAAGATGGTTGGTCTCCCTTGTTCATGGAGGCCTTCCTCACTGCCACACAAGGGCGCCTTCGCCTAGCAACAGCATCCTCTCCACCCTCATCGTCGCCACTGCGACCTGAAATAAAATTTTCATTTCTTTAGCACAATGAGTATTTGGAATCAAGCAGCAGAGTCAAACAACCAAAGATTGTTGCCAAAAAAAAAAAAAAAAGACATGCCTGATCTGCTTCTTTTAAGATTGAGAGCTTCAACTGTTGTCATTGACCGCGACGTGTCCTTACCACGAGTAGGCGGAGACCGATGCACCTAATGTGATTCAGGAACATTGCAACAAATACAAATATAAATATCAGTCTCATGCTACTGAGTCTAGATAAATTGTTCCAACAACATCAGAATCTGTACTTGAAGCATGACCACTTTTGCAACAGCTCGATCTCAAGCAAAATACTTATGGCCCATCTGGTTAGCAGAATAGGACGTGGATCCAGCAACTGGCTAGGCAAACAAATCTGGCTGGTAGCCAATGGAGCTAGTGGAGTGAGGCCAGGTCATCACTGACAAGTAAGCCAACACAGGCCAATAGTTAGTATGGCTGAGCACGTGGGGGAGAGTGTATGTCTCCACCCTCCTGTGCTTGCATGCTGCTCCTGCTCAAGTGCATGCATGCCATGGCTGCGATGGGGTTTCTGATGCCAAAGGCCTGGCAGCAAAGCAATGAGTTCTGTCCTTTGTGCTGTTGGATTTTGGGAGCAGGCAACAAAATAGCAGCTAGAATTTATTTGGTCAAATTTCGATTCCCACAATTCCTTAGCTAAGCAAACAAAATAATTATATTGAAACCTATTTCTGATTGCACATGGAATCAAATTGATCCTCAATACAATTCATCCGGTCCAATTCCACAAACCAAATGAGTGTTATATAGATCTATATCACATCATCAAGTTACAACGTAAAATGCTAATTGCCTGCAATCATGGACTTTCTGAAGTTTATGACAACAAAATGAATGAACAATTGCACTTACATATGAAACTAAGTTCCTGGTCACTGGAAATCTTGTAGCACTCTGACACTTTTCTTGTGGCAATATTTGCTTCTGGGGCCAGTCTACAGGCTGCTTTTCAAAACACAGATCAATCAACTTCATCTATATAATGAGTAACACAAATAGGATAATAGGCTTAAATACGCTAAATATGAACATGTCATCATGAGTAAACAGCAAATAGGATAACAAGTCATTTACAATACAAAATACTGCAAGATGCCTATTAGCTAACATGCTTGAGATCCTGTGGACAACAATCGAGACTTCACATCTGAATAAGCTGAAGCTTGCATTAATTGATCCAATACATCACCTTCTTATTTGAAGCTATGTGCTGATTTTCCCTCCAGGAACCTTGACTCTTCAAAGAAGCCACAGGAGTCTTTTTACGATCTAAATTATAAAAAATGGACACTATTAGAAACACCAATGAAACGATGTATTTGCAGGATTAAATATCTGTTCTAACATAATTACATGTGCCTGTTGCTGGAGTACTGTGTACCAATTCACTGACTGCATTATTAGCACATTCCACTGCAGGAGCTAAAGAAACATGAGTAGCAATGTCATCATGGCCTCTTTCTCTTGTAGGGCTGCCCGTAACCAAGCCTATTTCCATGTTGTTCCCCTCTTTTGATGTAGCTGTGCATCTTTCATTGTCATCATTTGAAGCAGCAGTGTCTTCATTCAATATTAGTGTTCCATTTGATTGCATATCCAAATAAACTGGAGTTGGCAATTCTTCATCTACTGCTGCCTTCTCAGTCAATGACATGTGCTGAGTCTCTTTATGGCAACCATGAACCTCCAATGTTACTACTGGAGTTCTCTGATCGCCTAAATTAAGGGGACACAAACACTCTATAAGAAACATCACTGAAATGAAATATTTGTAGGAGAGAAGGAAATAGAAGCCTCTAAATAATCTCCTTTACACTTACCTGTGGCAGCTTCACTTGAGGCAGCAGCATTTTCATTTGTTGCGATATCACCATCACAAGTATATTCTTCAAATCTGGGTGTTCCATTTAATAAATGTGATGATTTTTGGAACACAGCATCATTGTGTGAGAAACTTCCCAAAATGTCTTGAAATTTGCTAATCAAATTGATTCCTTCTGTATGCACACGTCTCCCCTGGTCAAATTTCTCCAGGTAAAATGGAGTGGAGTCCACTCTAGAATTGCACGGCTTGCAACTTTGCCACGAGTCTGGAAATCCATTCAGGAAGTCACTACAGACCTGCATGCATGGTTTGCAGTCAAGACCAAGGCATTCGTGAGAGAAGTGCATGGCTGAATGATCCTTTTGGACATGCATTTTGGCAAAACATTTTTTTGGTCCATGATATTTTCTAGATTGAAGATATTGCTCAAATCTAGAATAACTTTCAGCCAGAGGAACACAGAAATAGAATCAGAGGATAGATGGAGAAAACAAATGATATCATCTGCTCTTGATACTGTATTCACTTAAAAAGTTGTCCAAATAGACATTCAATTGGTACCTGAAACAAACAGAAAACAGGACGTGCATACCTTAGTTGAATATCCATTGCGATACGTGTGCGAAGTATTGAGGTCACCATCGATGCAAAGTATGGTTCCATCCTCAGTCTCAAGAAGAAGAGGCATATGACGCTTCGCAATAGGTGCAGGAGAGTAGTCATGAAGTTCTTTATCCCTGTCAGAGCAGGCAATAGATAATTATTTTTATCAGCGAAAGAATCCGTAGCTCTTTCATGAGGAAAAGCAGCCGACTTATGCTTAAATACACAAGCAGCAATGATTTAAGGAAGTTTAACCATGCTTCAATCAAGGCGTTAATCACCCTCATATGTAAAGAATGAATCGAATGGACAAATGGCATAAACATTGGATTGTTCAATCAATTTGACAAAAGCATGTGGTAAGCAGTTATGAGAAAACTAAATTGGCCTATTCTTTAGGAGGGCATGCCGTCAACTCAATCTAGGTATCATTTTGTAATATCAAATTTGAAGCATACCCAGGAGGACTCCAAACGCCACTCCTCAACCAGAAGATCGAACTCTTCGCAAAAAAAAGAAAAAGGATCGAACCCCCAGAAAAACAAACGAAACTAGTTGCTACCCACTCAAGCCCGGACCTCCAGAGATGACTCCTCTAGTTCCCCCTTCCCCTCTGAAGAAATGCTTACCGTTCGAATCTCCCGGCGACAGCGATCTTCTGGTCGTCCCCTTCCGCGGTTGCCAGCCACCACTCTTGCAGCGTGACCTAGACACCCGAAATGCAGGCCACCACGCACGCGCGGAGCACCAAATCGCGTCAGGGCACACGCGTCTCAGCCAGTAAAGGGGAAAGGAAGAGGGGGAAAAGAAAAGGAAAACAATCGACATGCGCCCCTAGCAGCATTAGGGCGGGCGACGAGCGTACGTACGTAGGGGTGCTCGGAGACGGCGGCGTCATGGTCGCCGTCGGCGGCGGCGGGGAACGCGCTGTGGGAGGAAGGGATGAGCAGCGACGGTGGCGTACCGCGGCGGGGAGGGCTGCCCGCCGGGGGTCGGGGCTGCATTTCGCTTGGATTCTCTCTCGTTTGGGAGAGAGGCCGGAGGGGAGTGAGGCGACGAACACGATCAGTAGCGGAATGGAGCGGGGTCTTTCTTTTTTCTTTCTTTCTTTTTTCTTTTCAACGTACTGTAGCGCCGTAGCGGCGTTGAGGGTGGGGTTTTTTTTTGTTCTGAAACTGTTGGGTGGGACTTGGGGCTGAGTACTACTCTCCTACAGCTGCATGCCACGGCACCCATTACCCACACAGCGTTGAGCTTTGAGCATCGATGTACATGTGACTGTGGGGGCCAACTTCAAACCTCATCTTTCTTTGATGCGCATGAGAAAGCGTCGGTCTGTTCGCTTGAACTCATGTCGCTTGTGAGTTGAAATCTATAGTATTTTATTATATAATAAAATAACTTCAACCGGCTTAACAATACAGACCACAAATATTTTTTTACTCTCTCAGCATCGACGCATGTACATGACCCGATGCTGGCCTCGGCTACCACAGTAGTACTACTACTACTCGGTGCTCAAAGAAGATAATCCAGAGTAGGCCTCGTTCGTTTGTCATGGAACGGCCCGGAACGAGACTCAACCCGCCTGGCTCATAACGATCTGGAACAAAAACCTGATCAATAAAGATTGCCGTTCGGTTAAGCTTGGTCTGGAATAGAATCCGACTAGTCTTGGACATTCTATGTGATCTACGGGCAGGTTTGCTTTCTCGTCTCTTGACATCCGGAACAAAATCACCTGGATCTCACTTGATCCCCTCCTAGACCATTCCTGCTGCAGTTTCATTCCCATGAAAACGAACAAGGCCTAAGGATGAAAAGGATCCAAATGGATAGGAAGAAGGCTCCATCACTCTCGTTTCACATTTCTTCAGGAAAAAAAGCGATATGATATATCGTCGAGAACAAGAACAATGTCAGTATTATGATAATATACAATTCAAAATACATCATAACGATTGAAAAACTAATAAAATTATACTTCAAAAATGATAAACACATCAAATCATAGAGCATGACACTGCCTATTCAGGCATATAATTTGTTCTATCCGGTACAAATGAACTAATGATCACATAGACATAACTTTAACCATGTCCATGATACATAGTCACAAATATTCGCATTACTTTAATAAAATCTAATCACTTATTTGGATATAGCTGAGTTAGGTTAAGGATTCAAGCAGGACCCACAAGTTTTTATGGAAAAAATAGAAATGGAAAAACAATTTTCTTTAGACTATATAGCCTTCGCTTAACTTAGTTTTATGTAGTTAGGGGAGCAGACCGTGGTGTGACTAAAGTGTGGGTGTGTGGAGCTTGGCAGCTTGGGCCCGTTGGGTTGGGCTCTTAAGAGCATCAGCAGTGTATGGAACCAGGCCCGGTTCTATAGCCTGATGTGACTTCAGCTGATAAATTGGCCATAATGTATAGAACCATACTTGATCCTATAAGTGGGGCCCACGTAAATAAAATATCCATCCCTTCGTCTGCAGGAGCACCAACGGCAAGAGAGAGAAGACGATGGGTGATTGCGAAGGAGCGGGTTCGATGCAAAGGACCGAGGTCTCCATCGAATCAGCTTCACAGTGTATCGTACCCGGTTCCATCATCTCATTTATTGTATCGATCCAACTTCGAACCGCACACTGCGGATGCTCTAAGGTGCGTGACATGCAGAGAAATGCGGGTCGGGAGTTATATTGCTAGCCTACTAGGCATAAGCCTTCAAAGTATGAACTCTTTTTTCTAGAGAAAATGGTATAATATCGTAATATTTTTACCGTCGAAATACGGTAACATGCTTAGGGCCTAGCTGCATGCTGCATCGGAGATCGCAAGGGGACAAGAGGCGTAGGGTCTAGCCGCCCAGGTGCACCGTGCGTCCGTGCGCCTGCTGTGCTGATAGTCTGATACTGTCATAGTACTGATGAACGGGTGGCCTCTAGCCTTAAGGCCCTGCGGCATACGTAGTACTGCCTACACACGCAAAAGAATGTAATTACACAAAACGTGTCGGTCAAATTAGTTTAAGTTTGATCAAATTTATTATAAATAATATTAATATTTATATCTCTAAATAAATTTATTATAAAAATATATTCTATAACTAATCTATGGAACTCATTTTGTATCATGAATGTTAGTACTTTTTTATATAAATTTAATCAAAATTCAAATGGCTTGACTTCTTAAAAAGCACGAATTGAGAAGAAGGGAGTAATAGTTTGCAAACGGTAGTTAGCCTGAGCTAAAAATTAGCCGACAAATATTATCCATCATATATCTTAAAACCCAGTTAGTTGGTATTTTTTTTCTTGGGAAAATTGGCTACGGGACACTGAAAGTGACCTCCATTTGTTGATAGACATGTAAAATGGAGCAGTTTGCTTCTTGTCAATTTGGTTGGTGGACACCGGACCCAATAAAATATTTATTTCCGGGTACGGAGGAGAGAGAAGAGCGATGAAATATCCTTAATACCTCTGCCTCTTTCTTCTTCCTGTCTCCTTGTTCTCCCCGCTCACCGTTCGGGCTCAAGCAACTTCCTTTGTCCGATTCTTTTTTTTTCTCGACGGTGTTGCTGCCATGGTCATGAGCTCAGAGCTCGGAGCTCGCTCGGCCCCGCTACCCCGCATGCGCTCGCTGGGTCTGCCGAGGCCGAGATCCGCCGGTTCCCCGCCGCCGCCGCAGTCGCACGCACGCCCGCCCACATGGGTCCCGTGCTCAGCCACGCCACCACTCCCGCCCGAGAAGCGCGCAGCCCGCATGTGCTGCCGCTCGAGCAAGCGCGGCCATAGGGGCAAGGGCGAGCGTGGCCACCATGGCATAGGCCGCCACGACCACCGTGGTGCGCGCGAGCACGGCCGCCGTGGCCAGGGCGGGGCGGGGACAGGGGCCAGGGCACGGCTCGACTCGGGGCAGGGAGGGGCGGCACGCCAGCAAGGGCGGGCGGAGGAGCGACCGAGATCGCGGGGGCTCGGCTCGTGGTGGCAGCGGGTCAGGGCGCGGGCGGTGTGGGAAAGAAAGTGAAGGAAAAAAAAGGAAAAGAGAAAGAGGCAAGGGTATTAAGGACATTTCACCGCTCTTCTCTCTCCTCCAAACCCAAAAATGAATATTTTATTGGGTCCGGTGTCCACCAGCAAATTTGACAAAAGCAGAGTGTCTATCAGGAAACTGCTCCATTTTACATGTCCAGCAGCAAATGGAGGTCACTTTCAGTTTCCCGTAGCCAATTTTTCCTTTTTTCTTCACGAACATGTCCTTGTGGCACGTATTTCATTGGGCAAAATTTGCTAGTGGACACTAAGAGTGACGTTGCTTTGCCAATGGACACCCGAAAATAAAATGATTTGCTAGTGGACACTACTTTGTGCCAAATTTGTTGGAGGACACGGAACGCATTAAAATATTCATTTCTGGCCCAGGCGAGGTGAGAGAACAGCTGTGAAACAACGATGGTGTCCCTTGCCCTTTCTTCTTCCTCCCTCCCTTTCTATTGTTTCTTTACGCAGCGCTTGCACAGGGAGTATACAGGAGTGAGGCAGAGGTGGTGGTGCCGGCGGTCGAGCGTGGGGAGGCTTGGAAGCTCTAGAACAGTGGTGGCTGGCTTGCTCTGCTCGGTGCCCGACGACGTTCGCACACAGAGGCGAAGAAGTGTTCCGGCTGCTATTGTACCAGCGCGGTGACCAGGCCATTCCGCCTAAAAATGGCAGCGGATCGGGTTTGGTGCGGATATCCGTGGGTTTCGGGTTCTCGGGTCTCGGTTTTGGTGCCTATTTTTCGCCCATGAATTTGCGGGTTCGCATACCCGAAACTCTACGGGTTTGGGGCGGACTCTATTTTTCACCCGTGGATACTCCATCGGGCCCCCGAATATGTAGCCCTCTAAAGCCCAGCTAAGAAACCCTAGTATATATTGCCTGAAATAGGAACCCTCACCACTCAGACCCTCATCCGCAGCCGCAGGACCGCAGCCGGCGTCCGCGTCGTGCGAGTCCTCGAGTCCGTAGACCGCAGCCGGCGTCGCGCGACTGCGAGAGACCGCGAGTCCACGTCTCCACGACTGGCCGCTGGCGAGTCCATCGTCCGCGACCGTGAGTGCGACCGTGGGACCGCTGGATGCTGGTCGCCTGGACCGCGGCAGTGCGGCACCGGCACACGGCGGCGGTCTCGACCTGCACGGCGACTGGCGGCCGCACGCCCTCTCCCACCCGGCGCCCTAAGCCAGCGAGCCCTCGACGGGCTCCCTTGCCGGCCTTGCCGCCTCATCAGTCCGCGACCCTAGTCCGCGTCCTCGCTGACCTTGCCAGCCTCACCGACCTTCCGAATTCCGACCTCGCCGGCGAATCCAACAGGCCAGGTACGACGGCACATCCCTCCCCTAGATCTTAAGCTGCTGTATGTTCCATTTTCTCAATCTTGTCATGTGACCATGTAATAATGTATGTTCCTTTTTCATTTGTCAGGAAGGGTGAGCAATGTCGACTCCTGTTGATCTGTTGTAATTTTCTCGGGTTTCGGTTAATCCGTCGGGTTTCGGAGATCCGCGGGTTTCGGTTTCGGGGATGGATTTTCACTCGAATCGGGGTTCAGGGTGGATTCGGGTTTTACTTTCGGGTTTCGGTTTTGGTTCCGTGAAGACTCCACCCGATCCGAATTCGCCCCGTTGCCATCTTTAATTCCGCCGCACTAGGACAACATCACCCAACTCGGCTGTGTCGTGAGGCGGAGTAGGAACCACCCTCGACTCCGACTCGCGACGGGCGACGGTGCTCGTTCGGTCGCTCCGACTACAACCTCCGCATCCTGCTGCCCTTCGGCCCTCCTTTGCCATGCGTTGCTGTGCCCTGCCCCCGTAGCGCCGCCGGCCGCGGGCCCACCATCAGACCGCGCGTCGACCACCCCTGGCCCTAGCCTCGGTGCCCCTTACTCTGCAATGTGCAGCAGCCCAGCAGCCAGCAGGTGAAAGCTCTAGTTTGGTTTTGGTAAATTGATGA